TATATATATGTATATATGTGTGTGCGTGTGTGTGTGCGTGTGTGTGTGTGTGTGTGTGTGTGTGTGCGCAAGTGTGTGTGTATGTGTGTGCGTGTGTGTGTTTTGTTTGTTTGTTTGTTTGTTTTTTGTTTTGGGGGATTTTTTTAGGGGGTCTCGTGGTCTAAAAGTTATGATGTTCGCCCCTCGATCATTCAATAGGCCCCGGGTTCGATACCTACAGCTTAGAAAAATGTTCTCTAATTTGTTTCCTTTCACCTCCTTTCCTGCTCTCTAACCAGGTTCTGTCGACTGCTTACGTCTCCACTTCCTGCCCCCCCCCAACCCCCTCGTTTGCCCCCTCCTCTGGGCTCTTGTCTCTTTCTGCAGATTTTCTACTGCTTCTCCTTGGCTCCTTCTTACTACTGTCTTTCAACTGCACCCCCAATAAGGGTAGGAAAGATCTAACAAAAACTAGCGCTCTCGGATAAGGGCTAAAAATCTCGGAGGTTCCGTGTGCTAGTTGCGCACGTTAAAAATCCCTTGCTGGTCCAAATTTGATAAGAGTAGTCTTCGGCTGCAACCCGGGCAAAATTCAAAATTAATTCCTTGGCTACCAAACTGTAAATGTTTAATGAGTCTCGCGCACTCATATATATGACCTTATGCAGTTGCGAGCGCGGTAAAGCACTTACGAAAACAAAACAAAATTATTTATTAATTATTTGAAGCCAGAGATACAAACATAAGGATAAACTTTACTTGAATCCTTCCCCAATAAATAAATAAATAGATGAATAAATGAATGAATGAATGAATGAATGAATGAATGAATGAATGAATGAATGAATGAATGAATGAATGAATGAATGAATGAATGGAAAAACAAATAATAAGCCTTTATTAAAGAACAGTTACAGCATTTTCAACCGAATAGGTTATGAACAATCCACTAAACATGTGTGTGGCACTGTGGGCAACAGTATCAAGAAGGCCGCGTAAGAGCCATACCTTATCATCCACAATGTGGATGTGATTTGTGAAAGTTTCATTCATATAATAATAAATAATAATAGATCGCATTTGTATAGCACAAATCCTCGCTCAACAGCAAGCTCTATGCGCTTCACAATCTATACTATTACCCCAGCAGACCTGAGAGCATTCTGAAACAACCTCAACTTCATGGGAAGCATACAGTGCAAGCAGCCATTTATAGGTGTTAAAACACTAGCATACTGACAAGATCTTTCGCTGTCTATGGCCGGGTACCCATTCCCACCTGGGTGAAGTGGGGAAAATTTGTGTAAAGTGTCTTTCCCAAGGACACAATGTCGGGCCCGCGGCTCGAACCCCCGAACCCACACACGATTACGAGTCCGGTAGCCTAACCACTAGGCCACTCATATTATTAAAACATACCTTTCAATGCATATTATACTAAAACAAATCAAAATATGAAACTTGAAAAAGTGGAAGAAGTGTGTTAAATCTTGGCATTATAACGATCAAGCTGCTAAGATGAGTCAATGATTTATAATTACACCTATGGTTTATTTGATAGAAGGGGAACAAAGAAAACAAAGATAAAGTGAAGGTAGGTCAGTAAGTTTGCACTTTTTTCTTGCTAAAAGTTCGGTTAAGTTCTACTGTTAGTTTGGCCTATGTGCCGAGGTATATAAGACTCTGGATGGTAAAACATCAAATAAGAGGTTAAGCGAAAACAAGAAGAAAAAAAAACAAGACGAAGAAAGTTTAAGCTCACAGAGCACCCTGC